ATAACAAATGATAATAGGGGTTGCAAATGGTGTCACAACACTGCCCGTGGTCAGCAGACACACCCCAGCTTTAGGCAACCCAGTCACGGACTATCAGCCAGATCATTCACGGTGTTATATTTCGGTAATTTTCACAACAAATGCGACCAATTAGCTGACTTGTGCGAAGCTGCATCCGTACACCGCTGTGCTTCATTAAAAGCAGCTTCATCTTCGTCAGAAAGCTAAAGGGGAAGCTAGCTGTCGTTAGCTCAATGCTAGCCAGGTGTAACAATGATTTCTCACCCGTTGGACGCGCCGTCAAACTTCAGCGACAGCGTCTCCTCTATGATGCGGTTATTGATCTCTAACAGGATCATGGCGGCGGACACCGGTGCGAGGAAAGGGGGAAGATCGGTGCTTTTAGGTGGGATTAACCGCTTTGTGTCAAATTCTGCTAATTTGTTTCCTCCCTTGACAGACCGAACCGCTTCCGTCGAGGCTACTTCCGCCTGCCACTTCCGCGTATTTTACAATCAGGACCCCAACAGATGAGGGGATCGCAAGGATGCCTGTCGTTAATTCCTAACTAGGATATTTGTCAAAATCAGAAACAGGTTATTTGCCAAGTAGGTTTAAACCTCTATGCAGTGGCGGTTCTAGACCAATTTGACTGGGGGGGCCAGTTATTTTCTGAGGGGGGCACAATAAATGCAGGACGAAAAAGAGAACTAGACAGTATGAAGTAATTGCGCATAAGAAAACAATGCAATACAGTTATTGGTATTTGTTTCAGTACACTTATTTATTTCAGATATATCTTATAGTTATTACTGTTAGCTTCAGCTTAAGTTATAGTGCAATGTTTGCACTAACACCATATTTATATAAAAATAAAGGCAATAAACAGTTACATCTCTACTTTACATAAGGGTGTCTGCACAATCTCACATTACAGCAACAAAATCCTGCGGTTTTTTGGCAAACCGAGTACCAGAAAATATACATTTAAAAAAAACAAAAAACTTTTCATTGTTAGGGGGGCCACAGGGGGGTCAGAGGTCAGTGTTTGGGGGGCCCCCCCTGCCCCCCTAGAACCGCCCCTGCCTCTATGGTCTTAACATGTGAGGAATTTGCCTTGATGTACATGGTGCATACATAAAACACAGTTAAAGAAGATTACAAAGTAAGAAAAACAAACAAAACAAAAATTAAATATAAAAAAGATATATATTATACGATAAGATATGGAACATTATGTACATGAAATCTGGATATATACGAAAAACCAAGTATAGTGTATACTATTGCAAAGTACTTGAATAAATAAAACTTGATTAAAATAAATAAAGTGGAAAGCTGTGAAGATAGAGGGGTAGAATTTATCAAAATAAACTGTTCAGCTATTAAATGAATGGATGACGGAGATTGACTACGTTGTTGTGCTGTTTTGCATCACCATGTCCAAATACTGCTATACAAAACAGGTTATTGCTTCTTCAAAAACATATTTATTCAGATCATAATTCATATATTGATTTTAACAAAGCCCTCTACACTGACATTATTTGCTTTCTTCTTGAACTTTTAACTTTTTAATTATTGCTCTTCTAACTACTTAGGCCTCAATTAAATATTTTACATTTAATAGTCACATCAGCATTGGCCCGGATTTATTTATTTATATTTATTTATTTATTCATTTATTTAACAGGGACAGTGCACATTAATGAACATTTCTGTAAATGTGCCAGAGTTAGCCGAGAGGCTATTTTTCATCTGTAGTCCCTGGACAGATTTTAAAAGTCAACAGATTCCTGTATGCACCAAAAGTCACTTGATTTTTGGTAATTGTTGTGGTTTACTCATAATTATATGTATTCAAATAGATAAATGAAACTGCTGTTCTCACCTGTCAAACTAAAACAGAGTAAACAACGTCATGTATTTTCCTTTAACATGAGAAGTATTAGGAGTAGTACAATATTACAGGTGTCAGACTACATGGCATGTCCTAATTGTCATCTATGAAAGTAAAGGCTTTAATCAGCAACTCAACACATAACACTGGTTTGACTGACATGCATGACAGCTCGTCAATTTTGAGCATTTCAGATCGAGCATTCCGATAAAAGAAAAGTTCAAATACGTAATTAAGGAACTACTGTAAAAATAATGCCAAAAACAAATAAATATTAAAGTGCACCTATCATGCTATTTGTAGGCAATAGCATAGGTCTCAGATATTTAAAAATATATAAAAAACATGTCTATGAAATGTTTAGCTCAAAATATCAAACAGATCACCCATTCTAGCCATGCGTCATATCCCTCTATTTCACTTCCTGTTTCAAAAGTGCTGATTTTATGTATAAAGCTTTAAAACCAAAAAAAATTGATAAAAAATAAAAAAGGGAGGGGGCTGAGCTCATGCGGGACCCGGCAGCTACTGTCTAAACTAAATACTGCCGTGATGAAACGCCATATCATGGATGATCAAGGATTATTTCTGAAACAGTATGGAGCTCAAAGGCTTTCTCTCTTGCCGGTTATACCACAAGGTGAGTTCCTTTTTATTTCCTGCTTCTTCACACACATGCTCTCCAGTACAGGTTAGCTCTGAGTGTTAGCGATGCTAATGTAAACACCGACCATATTACGTCCAAAACAGCATTGTTTCTGCAACCCAGTCACGGACTATCAGCCAGATCATTCAAATGCTGTCATACTTGACACTTTTTAAGGGTCTAACAAAAACACTCTGGTATTAGAAGAAAACGTTTTTTCTTACATCCAGCTAATTTATATTGTAATTAAGTATGTTTTAAAGGGAGAAGCTCAGAACTTAATGTAGTTTTATAAAAGTTATATTGTATTTCTGTAGTGGAGTTGTTTAAATATACCAATAAATCCTGAATTCTTATAATTAATCTGCATTCTTTTTTATTTGTATTACAGAACTTTGAACAAAACAGACTTTATTCCCTCGGTTCATTTGATTTGAACTGTAAATCTTTGCGGTGATGATGATTACGCTAAAAATTAAAAACCGGCCATGCTGGTTGGGGGACAGTCATGCTTCCTGACGGAGGATGGACACAAGACACTGTTGTCATTTGTGGAGCCTTTAAGTCTTCGTTATGAGACAGCTGGAGGGGTGAAATGTTAAATATTGTGCAATTTTCTACTCTCACCACCGGAATAAAGTTATTTACTGAGCCAAAAGGGGGAGGAAGAGGAGTTATTTTGTGTCTAGGCACACATTTAGTTTGACTTTATAAAGGATCAATCAATCAATCAATCAATGTTTATTTATAGCCCAATATCACAAATGTTACATTTGTCTCAGTGGACTTCACAGTTTGTACAAAATATCAGTATGACAATACGACACCCTCTGTCCTTAGACCCTCTGTCCTTAGACCCTCTGTCCTTAGACCCTCGCATCGTACAAGGAAAAACTTCCGAAGAAAACCCACAGTTTAAAGGGAAAAATGGGAGAAACCTCAGGGAGAGCAACAGAGGAGGGATCCCTCTCCCAGGACGGACAGACGTGCAATAGATGCCGTGTGTAAATTGAAAAGATAATACATTTGCAACATAGGTAGTCCAAATGTTTGGAAATGCATGTGTGTATAATAGGAAGATTAATTCAAAGGAGAGGTGCGTCAGTGTGGCCCTTTCATCAGCTTCCTCCTCTGTCATTACCAGGAAAGTGCACGGACATTTTAAGAGGCTGTTGCATCAACCTGACAAAAGAAGACAAATATTTTTGCTGAATTGCAGACAAGCAAACATATGAATCAATGACACCCAGTGAACTTCAGAATCCATTGCAGTTAGTTTAATAAACATTCAACTGTGCAATAGGTTGGCTCTGCGTTGTCCGACCGAGGCATGGGTATCAAAAATTACAACAGTTTTGAATATATCGGGATTTATGAAGTCTAACTTAAGCAATTACTGCCAACTAGCATTAGTTTTACCACATTTTCTCTGCACTCTTACTTTAACTTCATTTATTAAAACAGAACACCTGGTAACTTATTAAAGCAGGACTCTCAGTATGGGGAAAAAAACAGGGGAACAATGCTGGACTTATGCAACAGTAAGAATGAGAAAAAAAACACCTAACTCATTTCCTGAAAATGTCACTCACAATAAAACACCTTACGTTTGGTAACACACACACACACACACACGCACGCACACACACACGCACACACACACACACACACACATACACACACACACACGCACACACACCCACAACACACACACACACATACGCACACACACCACACACACACACACACACACACACACCACACACACACACACACACACACACACACACACACACACACACACACACACACACACACACACACACACACACACACACACACACACACACACACACGCCTAGTTACCCAATGACTTGAGACCAGGTCATGTGAAGTTGTATCCGGAACATCTTTTGAGTTAGAGTTAGTTGTTTGTAAAATATGCTTTCAGGGCAAAAATAAGTATCAGTGTATCATTCAGTTCATCTGAGATATTAAGTCGTAAAGCCCTAAAGGAATTTGTACTGTTGAAATTCTATAAGATGTCTTTTTCCAAATCCAATAAATACTAGAGATGTTTTGAGAACGTGGCATTTGTGATAACATTAATTCATTTGGATAAATGGGAAAATAGTTTTCCAAACCTGGTTGAAAATGAGTATCATAGAGCCCCCTTTAAAATGTTAATTCTTTACTTGTATTTCATGTGCATTTATGATAAAGTGTTCTATGTTTTTTTAAAGGGCAATTCCTGAGAAGAATTGGAGCACAAAAACAGGCTATTCATTTATTTCTGCTTCTGCGTTACTTCTATTTTAAAGAGAATCCAGCAACAATCATTAATTTCACTATTAGTACCTTTAGGCTTTTTTATTGTGACATGTCAAAATGTGTTCCTGAAGAAAGGTGTATTGCAGCAAAAACATTTGACACACATATATCCAGTAACACATTGGGTAAGGAAACATTGGACATTGGGTCAACTCTCCGTAAAACATTTAAAGGGACACTGAGTGGCATTTAGGGGGAGAGCTGCGGTCGTCTTTAAAGTCCAAAGGTGAGTGCCTGAACTAGTTTATTATCATATGTGTTAAAGGGAGACTATTTTATAAAGAGATAAAGGCCAATTGTCTTTGACCCTTCCAAAAACTAGTATTGTGCATCATTTTGTTATTGTTTGCACCTTTTCTAAGTTGAATTTTGCATGACGCTATACCTTTCTTTTAACTATATATCAATTACTGAGCAAGAGAGAAGGCAGCATAGGGGTTTGAATGCTTTACTAAATATTTTTAAAGGAATATTTCACCCCAAAAATGATGGTATATATATAGGCACTGTGTTATCTTCAGAGAACTTGGTTTAGCAGAAGTTGAATGTGCTGCTACTGTATGATAATCTAATGCTCTCAATCTGTTTTCCACCTATAGTCATGTCGCTCTACTTCAACTATGAGGAAGTATTTCCGAATTATACCATCCATGAAAATCTAACGCCCTACGTTGTGGATCCAAATACGTTATCATGTGAGACAGAACCGCTGCCTGCGACACCAGCTCTCACGCTGTGTCTCATCCTCATAGCCATCTTTTTACTGGCCATACCGGGGAACCTGTTGGTTGGATGGGTGATCGGCACCAGCAGACAGGCGCTGACTCCATCGGACATGTACTTGTTCCACCTGACGATAGCAGACGGTCTGATGGCCCTCACCATCCCGTTCTGGGCCATTGCGTTGCTTAAAGGATGGATCTTTGGGGACTTCCTGTGCAAGTTCCTCAACCTCGCCTTTGATGCAAACTTCTACACCAGCATCCTCTTCCTGGCCTGCATTAGCATCGACCGTTATCTGGTGATCGTGCACGCGAGTGAGAACGTCGGGACTCGACAGAGGAAGAGCAGCCGGCTCTTGTGCGCGGCGGTTTGGGCCTTCAGTTGGGCCCTCGCTCTTCCCGCTCTTTTCAACGACGCCTTCAAGCAAGCCTCGGACTCAGAGAGGATGCTCTGCCACGAAACCTTCGACATCGGCAGCGCCACCTCATGGAGGAATGTCACACACGGTTTCCGCCATATTTTTGGCTTTTTGCTCCCTCTGTTTGTGATGATATATTGCTACAGCGTCACCATCGCCAAGGTGCTGCAAAGTCGAGGTTTCCGGAAGCACCGGGCCATGAAGGTCATCATAGCTGTGGTGGTGATGTTCCTGCTGTGCTGGATGCCGTACCACACGACCATGATTGTGGACATCCTCATGAGGACGGATCTGATTAGTTTTGACTGTGCTTTGAGGATGTCAGTTAACCAGGCTTTGGTGATAACAAACAGCCTGGCTCTGTTCCACAGCTGCATCAACCCTGTCCTCTACGCCTTCGTGGGAGAGAAGTTCAGGAAGAAGATGATGCAGCTTTTTCAGCAGAAAAACAGACAGGAGCGGGTGTCTAGGACCAGCAGGTCCACATCGCAGACCTCAGAAGGCAACGGAGCTATTCTCTAAACTTCAAGTCAAGTCAAATATATTTCACAAATTCTCTCCTTTCATTCTGTGCTGCACTGCTGCCATCTATTGAATGTACTGTTGTTTACATGTCTACTATTGAACCGTCTCACTTTTCCAGCATCTGATGTTCATTTTCTTCTTAATCACCGTGACTATACTTTCATAAATCCAATGTTTCTGTGTTTATTGAAATGCTGTGAAGTATGTAAAAACTGTTATATACTGTAAATACTGCTGGTTTGTCAGTAAAACTCCAGAAATGTTTAGAAATGCTATTCACATTTCATGATCTGATATGTTCTTCATTACAAATAAAAGGCTTTGCAATGTTATCTCTACTGAGTTACACAATATTAACACTTCGAGCGATAGAATTAAAGAATTACTAACAAAGCACTTATATACTAACAGAGGACTGGCTTATCTAAAGCCAGTTGAGTAGCACTTGAAATGTTTTGGCTCTATGAAACCTGATGTACTTATATGATTCTGTTTTCTTCAAGTTTGTATCTTCTCGGTCTAATGCACTTATTAAGTAAGTCGCTTTGGATAAAAGTGTCAGCTAAATGCAATGTAATATAATGTAACATTATCAGTTAGGTATAATATTGTAACATCATATTGTTATGCAACATGTAATGAATTTAATATTTTATCATGAGAAGTATCTTTAAATATTTGTGTTGAGCAGAGGGCGAGCAAAACCCTTGCAAAATAAAACATAAAAACTATTGCACGGACATAATCGTCAGTGTGTGTCTTCTTACATCGTATTATACATTTATAAATCCAGTTTAATTCACTTTTAGTTGAGAAATCAGGGTTTTACCAGCTTTGTCGCAGCAGTTAAATTTGCCGAACTACATTTCCCAGAACTCCTTGCGATGACAGAAGAGCATGCTGTCAGAGACTGGGCAGCTACAAATTAAATTGCTGCATTCAGATGGACCTCACGAGGTATGGGACGTTTTATCAATTCCTTGCATACTAAAAATGACAAACAACTATAAAGTGTTTTCTTGACATGTAGCCAGCATGTTGTTTCGTACACGGGCTGTCAGTTACTTTCTCTGAAGATAATGTTTTTATCATTTTTTGGAAAAAAACAGCAACGAGACGGCATTGTTGTCATAATTGTACACTATTAGCCAGCTTGCTAGCTAGCTATAACTTCGCACCTGGGTCATAAGTGCTATTAAGCGATTGTATGCATTTTAGTGTCGTTGTGACACAGAAATAATATAACCTTTTAGCACCGTTAGCTCATTAGCAGCTAACTCACTGTGTTTACTATGAACTGCTTGTGTAACTTGTTTGCCTTGCACCTACAAAAATGGACACGTAACGTCAGGCCAAGAAATCCATCTCTCAGGAGCATATTTCCAGAGTCATATCAGTTTAATTGTAATGTGTTGACATATGTTTATAAATATTTATTTATATATAATATTTATTAATTTTTGAGCAAGAAATATGCTCTAACAAGCACATTTGCCCACTGTTGAATCAATAGTGAACATTTTTGTTGGAAAGCCCTGATTTTAGTTTGACAGAAAAAGGGTAAATAATCCAAGTTCCAGTTTATTCAACTCATTATTTGCATACTATTTTATGAATAGTTTTTTGACTGCTGGGTCTAACAAAACAAGCTGTTGTGATGGGCATTTTCCAGTGTGTCTCATAATTTATACACAAAACAAGTGATTAAGTGTTAATTGTAGAAGCCACGTTAAAGAGAATTAAGCTACAGTCACCTTTCTGCACAGTGTCAAAATAGTCTGAGTTACTCACAACATTGTTATCTTTTCAGGTTAACAATGACACCAGACCAGGCCGCTGGATAGAAAATGTCACAGTGTGGAATGGAGCAAAGGTCAACATTTTCTTCTACATGCAAATGGCAGCATCTAGCATTTTAACCATCCTACTAAATGGATATATTTACACCATTCCTGTCATGGAGACGAAGTCTGGTTGAACCCCACAACATTTAGTTTCCTCATTTCATTTAGGCTGATGACAAAACAAATCCTCACATGGTGATTTAACTCGGCAGGAAATAGAAACACTGCATCACAATGGTCGCTGATGACACAGCAGGGAGTGGGGACAGATCAGAGGGGGAAAAAGAGATGGACTTGAAGGAAGATGGAGACGTGGAGATGGTCGTCCCTGCTTCCGAGGGCCCGTCTCCCCGCGAGGGTCCCACAGAGGCAGCCGTAGAGCCAAGGAAGTGGAAATGGGCCGTAATATTCCTGTGTTTCTTTGGGTTTATGTCCTCGATAAAGCCTGGGGAGCCTTTCATTACACCATATCTACTCAGTACTGAGAAGAACTTCACAAGGCAAGAGGTAAGTGGTAGAATGTTTAAAAAAAATAAAATGAAATGCAGTCATTGGTTAATATGCAAGATATACTAACCTGACATGAAGTTAACCTGTAAGAGTCTTTCTTAAGGTTGTCTACATGCAGTTAGGCACTCAATACACAGCACTTTTAATGAATGTCCTGTGGAGACTGAGAGTCTGCTGATCCATCTTACTGCAGGTTAAAGTTCACATTCCTCCAAACTGCTATGTGAAAAGTGGATCGGGGATTTTTAGAGTTTCTTTTTCTCAAATTGACCTCATACCAAGATTTGATTTCCTGTAATCTAGAAACTAGACATTTCCTGAAACTAGATGTTTAAAACAAGGCAATTTTACAGCCAAGCCAGTGCTTATTTTCAAGAAATAAGCTGCTCCTGAATTAAATTGTAATCAGCTGGGATTACATGTGTATACAGCATTGTTATGGATAAAAGTCAGACATGACTTGTTCTATATAAACCAACTTCACTATGTCTCCAATATGCAGGAAAAAATGTACGTTATCCAATATTCTTGTTTAAAAGTCAAATGTTCCAGATTAATTGTACCAAGCAAGCATGGAATAAACTCCACAAGCATTTTAAGGAGTTTGTAGTAGTGCTTGCTTACATGTTATAATACATTATATTGCATCAATTTAATCATTTTTATTTGCTCGACTGCATATAATACAGTACCACAAACATGATGTGAACAAAATTTGTAGCCTTCACCCGCCTCGCTGATTTATTCATTGACTATTCCAGGTGACCAATGAGATCACTCCTGTGCTGACGTACTCCTACATGGTTGTGCTGGTACCGGCCTTCCTGCTGACCGACCTCCTGCGCTACAAGCCGGTCCTGATCATCCAGGGCATCAGTCAGGTGGCCATCTGGATCCTCCTGCTGCTGGGCACCACCCTCCTACAGATGCAGTTCATGGAGTTCTTCTACGGCATCACCATGGCGTGCCGCGTGGCGTACTCCTCCTACATCTTCTCCATGGTCAGCCCCGCTCTCTACCAGCGAGTGGCGGGATACTCGCGCACCGCCGTCCTCCTGGGGGTGTTCACCAGCTCGGTGCTGGGACAGTTATTCATCTCTGTCGGCCGCGTCAGCTTCTACACCCTCAACGCCATATCTATAGGCTTCGTCAGCTTCAGTCTGATGCTGTCCATGTTCCTCCCCTGGCCTAAACGCTCCCTGTTCTTCAACCGGACACAGAATCAGGAGCAAAAGGAAGTGGCGGAAAAGTCAGAAGTGGCCGCCATGAACCCGAAAGAGAAACCCAAGTCACGCTGGAGGGATTCTGTGTTACCGCAGATGCTGCTGGAGCTCAGAAATATTGTGAGGAGGCCCAACCTGAGGCTCTGGTCCCTGTGGTGGATCTTCAACTCCACCGGGTACTACCTGGTCCTGTTCTACGTTCACATCCTGTGGAACAAAGTCTACCCGGCCACGGAGAACAAGAACGTTTATAACGGGGGAGTGGAGGCAGCTTCTACCCTGCTGAGTGAGACTTTTATTCAGATACAGTTTGTATTTGTGGTTTTGCACAATTTGAAAACCAATATAACAGAGAACCGATGATATACCATGCAGGAAGACACACTGGGCTTATTTAAAGCCCCCACCTACATAATGGCATAATGAGAAAAACATATGCGTGCCTCTGCATAATGTCAATATTAAGCACCAAGACAACAATATTGCGTTGAATCCAGAGATCAAAGTCTGAGGAATTACGTCAGTTGTGAAAACGATGTCGACTGCTCGTTAAATTTGTTATTCTGCTGAGCGGTTACTTCATGTTTCGTCATCCTTAATGGCCCTTAATCAGCTGTAACGAACAAAGGTAGCAGTTTGTTTAAATAACTTGGAAGTCGTGCAAGCAGTAAAAGTTATATTGTAAAAAAAAAGAAGTAAATAATGAACAAAACTTCCATATAAGTTGAAGTTAATCTCCTGGTTTGAACAAAATCTCTTTACTTTTGTTAAGCAAACAGATGATACACATTGATGGCTACTACAAGAGTTAAATGGACGTCTCTCTCCCTGCAGGTGCAATCACCTCCTGCGCCGCCGGCTTTGTGACGATCCGCTGGAACGTGTGGTCCGAGCTGGTGATCGGCGTCATCACAGCGCTGCAGGCGGCGCTGCTGCTCCTCATGGGAACCACCGACAACATCTGGATCTGCTACGCCGCCTACGTCCTCTTCAGAGGCTTCTACCAATGCCTGGTGCCCATTGCCACGTGAGTCACAATTAAAACACGTTATCAAAACACATTTTCTGAAAGGGGAGCGGGATACTTGAATTCTGATGCATCCGTTCTTTAATCCTCACAGGTTCCAGATTGCCTCGTCTCTCAACAAGGAGCTGTGTGCCTTAGTGTTTGGCATCAACACGTTTTTTGGGACCATACTGAAGAGCATCATCAACCTCATATTTGCTGACAAGAGAGGCCTGGGGCTGGACGTTCACTCTCAGGTAAAACAGACATGAATTACCTGAACGCTGGCAGTGTGTGTCCTTAGATGTGCCTCATACCACCAGTACATCAATTAGTAAGCTTTTATTTCACATTGTTACTTTAGCTTGTGTATTATGGTGATTAACGCGATAACATTTCTAAAATGATTGACTCCACTCATTCAAAGATGTCTTCTCTTACAGTTCCTGGTGTACTTCGTTTACTTCACCATCCTCACCGTGGTCTACCTGGTCTGCGCCGCTGTGGTCATCATCCGTCACTATAGAAACGAAGCCAGGGAAGGGGCCGGGGCCGACAAACAGGCCACGCCCACAGAGCTCAGTCCGGTGACTGCGGACTCAGAGGTAGAACCTTTATCTAACGGCAACAGTGCCAAAGCTTAACGACGGGAAGTGTTTTGGACGAATATCTGACGTACATGAGTTTTTACCCTTTACCATTTAAACCCTCTAATGTCCACAGAGGAGACTAAAGTGAGTCTTAATCATTAAGTGCCTTCATGAAACTTTTTGTAACTGAAAAGAGTAAATTTTACTTTGTTTTTTTACTTTATACCAAAACAAATCATCTTAAGCACAGGGCGTTTTATTTCGTTTTTTTTTTACAGGATGCTGACCTGTACTGTTTCACTGATCTGAAACGCTGCGCCATGATTACTATGTGATCACCTAGTATTACTCTAAAACAGCTTTTCATTCACACTCCTATCCTACCTAATGTTACAAATAATAATAAGTGCCTTTTTGGATCTTTTTTAGTAAGATACAGTTTACCTTTCTGTATGGAAAATCCCATTTTACATAATTTTCGTACAATCAGATTAATTTAAGCTGCAGATTTTATGTAGCATGTTATATAGTGTGATTTATTTGTATTGAATATTTCGGACAATAGGAAAACGTAGCAGCAGTTAGTTTTGCTGCTTATTGGCTCATTTTTTGTCCAAGTACGACTGTTTTGTTTAATAAAAACCTGCAGGAAAAAGAACGGAGAACATAGGAACACATGAAACTATTATTGATGAAACAGGAACCACAGACATTCAATAGTTTTATGAAAATGCTGATTTGTGTCCCTTGTTTTAACACAAGGAATTGTGTACACTATACACAAGTTGTTTTGACTTGTTTTGACTGTATTATAATTATTGATTGAAATCATTGCTGAAATATAATGTGACTGTGAATCTGTCCGACTGCTGTAAAGGAAAAACACTGACTTTAATCAAATGTTTATTTCTTAGTCACAAATAAAATATTTTATAACATGAATCTATTCCCTGATACTGAATGTGTTGCTAAATTGTCAATTTCAAGGATAATGCCGGTAAAATCCTTGCAACCAGGTTAAGATATACAAGTAAAAAATGTATTTTAGATGTTGATCATTGACTTTCTTTGTAAGAGTTGTTTTTTTCAGCTGCAGCCTCAGCATGAAGACAGAGACTCCACCGATTATTTGTTTCTCTGCGTTTCTTAGGAGGTACATTTTTCTTTTGTTGCTCCAGCTGAACACTGGCGTCTGACAACATATCTTTTTTTAAATGTTAAACTGCTCCTCTTCAGGTTCATATTAGTATTATTACCTCTGTCACACATGTCTCCATGCTTTAATGACCAAAAAGGTATTTCTTTTTCTCATACTGCAGCACCTCTTTTCACCCTCTGTCTGAAACAAATATACAATATAATCTGCAAGGTAATTTATAGGTTTATTAATATCAAACATAACGATGACATTTTAAACTCCTTTATTCACAAAACCTTGTTGAAGATAAATTAAACACAGTCACTCTTAATAAGTCTGCAGCGGCTTGAAGTGAACTGTGTCCACTTGCTGCCCTCAAGTGGATACATGTTGTACTATGTTTTACAAAAATGAAAGACAGAAGCCTTGTAAATAGTTATAAAATAATAAGGTCCATTTCAGGATTATTTTCTTATAGTTTTATTACACACACAGCCCATACAAAATCCCTTCATCTACATTGTATAAATCTACAATAAATACTAAGCTAAAAGGGTGTAAGTTTCACAAATCTTAAGTCTTAAAGCATTTAGTAACTCACATCTATTGCATCCACAAACCACACATTTCAACCATTTCCAAAATAAAAGCAGAGAAAACAATCTGGTAAATGATAATAACCATTAAGGAAACCCCACAAATATCTGATTGACTTATTCCAAGCTTGAAATGTCTTTGTTCACGCCTCCTGTAGTATTCGCTGCATTACAGTACAATGCTTTGCTTGTTGGACACAATGGCGTCTCTTTCCCCCTCTGATATCAGTGCACTTCCTCCCCAGACACACACTCTCCTCTCCAACACTGTGAGGCTGCTCCAGAAATTCTTGGCTTTATGAGCTCGAGGTACCCGTCGGTGATGTCTTATCTCAGGAAAGGGAGCTTTGCAAAGGTTTCCTGGCATTGTCTAAGCTGCGAGGCCCCTCGGTGCCTCATAGGAACATCACAAATCTCTCCTACTATTTATGTCTGCACTGCAACTGTAGTGTTCAGCAGTAACTTCAATACTTCCCTTCCAAGTATTTTAAAAGTAACATTTCTGCATTTAAATGCTAAATGTAAAATATTTTGGCACTTATCCCTTTTCCCCTTTTCAGCATTGTGGTCGTCTAGCCAGAAAGTTCCCCTTTTTATCCCATTTGAAAGACATCTTTATAATACGTCTTGGTTGTTTTTAATTATAAACGTAATCCTAATGGAAGGTTTTATCAGCAGAGGTTGTTGTCAGAGAAATACGCTTATTTCGTGTTTGTGGCAACTGCATTGGAGAAACTGTTTTTGAACATAAAAGTGCTATATTTGAAAACTGCCTTTATTTAAAAACGTATCCTAACCGCAAAAAGCTAACTGTTGACAGAAATTGACTCAATCAAACTGTCTTTAAAATGGTTGTTACTGATCTTAAACAAGTATTTTTTGTGTCTAAAATATATATTTATAAAAACTAAATATATATTTTCCCTCACTTTGCTTCTTCATTATGATTTGAGGCATGTAGCTTTCACCACTATTACACATTGTTCAATAATATATGTACTGTAAATACATATATGTGCCCCTCTACATTTCCTCTTCATGCTTCGTCATTTGGTTTCATCGGTGTTCCCTCTGTCAAAGAAAGTCACATATATTGTTATATATCGATTTAGATGAATAGAAAGTACATTTAGAGACTAGCAGGGCATTTGTTTTAGTATCTTACCTTCTGTTGATCCCTCTTGAGCAGCGGTGCCATTAGATTCAGCAGCATCTGTTTCTGTAGTAATGATATAGTTGTTTTATTATAATATAGAGTTAGAAATGAATAATACGGGAAACTGACAGAGTGAAACCTACGTGGTCTCTCGTGCTTCCTCCAGAAGTCTGTAGTGGTGGACAGAAAACAGAAAACACATGACAGAAGAAGTTATGTTTACATGTCCATGGTTTGAAATGTAAAGCATTGCGGTGTCCATAAGTGAGTTTACTGACCTGCTTCCCATGGCATGGATGCTGCAGAGAGAGAACAGAAAATAAAGTCATGATTTATCACGTTTCCTTTCATACTGCCATGTTAAATTCTACCATACATCATGCTGCCGTATCCTACATTTCCCAGAATACCTTTCAGATAACCCCTTACAAAATGGTCATACATTAATGGACTTCACTCTTTATTTATTAAAAGCTACGTAAAAAAGTATTTTAAGTCTACATTTTAAATGCTTTTAAAGATTTCTTACCTTTTTCAAAGAACCACATCCCTAGAGGAAATCAAACAAAACCATTAAATGTGGTACTTATCTCTTTATTATCAGATGTATTTAAAATACAGACACCTCTTCAACAAAATCGACTGGATAAGCCAATTCCAACTATTAATATAATTAACTAAAAACAGCACTATATATTTATATTTCCCATATTTAAATCTTTTTTTCCACATTTTCATAAAAGGCTAAGATGTAGTGAGCAAAGATGGATCTTTTAATATATGAACAACTTTTCTAGCTTCATATATTTATTTTTCTGGTAATATAGAACCCATTTTGCAGATTGTATTTTTCACTTAAACGAGACAACATGTTGGATTTCCAGTCATTAAATGTATGGCAGTGTGTAAATGCTGCTCAATGGAAGTAATTGTCTTATCATTGGATATCATTTCATTATAGGGGTAATAACATACTTTAACATTATTCGCGGATTAGTTTCGGCACAAATGTGTCCCTGATATGGTGTTATGTTTCTCACCTGCTTTAATTCTATGAATGATAGCGGTCAGGATCACAGCTACCAGCAGAACGATGAGGACTGTGAGTCCTGCGGACATGTTCAGCTTTCCTGCAGGTGATGTAAAAGACAACAGCAGGCTTTATATCAGGATATTCTGGATACAAATGAGATGAATCAGTAATGAAATCTTTGTGTAATAACTCACGAGTGAAAGGGTTTGTAAACGGTTCGCTGTGCTGTTGACTGACCGGGTTGTTCAGCGAACATTCAAACGTGCTTGAACTTTCGTCCTAGAAATGAAGATCAAAAGGTAGCATTAGCTCACATTTATACAGATATTTAACACTAGGTTTGTGTTACAAAAAGTGTTGATGCAATAACTAAGCAAAGTAGTTAAAGTGCTTTTTATTTGCAGCAAAAATTGTGAAAACCGAAATGACAAGAAAGAACCACACATTTATACAGTTCTCAGAAAATGTAAACAAGCCAACATCAGACTCCCCCAAAACCACTTATATGCATTAAGCCCCTCCCCATAGGCCAGGGGCGGACTGGGGGGAAAAAGTGACCCGGGGATTAATTGACAGACAGGCCCACTTAATGCGCGGCATGTATCGGCCGGCCGGCGACGAAGGTATGTTACTTAACAAACAATCCTATGCATTTAATGTTATTTTGGACCATTATTCATATAGTAATCACATTACCTGAGCCCTTGAGTTGCCTAGAGCAAAATAGTTACAGCATATATTTAGTGATTTTAATGTTAACAGATCATTGATGCAATAACATTTGGACCCAATTTGCCTGACTTGACACATGGAATAAAACATGGGCGTAGGAAGCATCCTCAATGTGGGTGAGACAATTTAACAGGTGGTGGACCTCACCTCCTCTAGGGGGGTCCGGGGGCAAGCTCCCCCGGGAAGATTTTTTTTAAATGTTGAAGTTAAATGCATCAATCTGGTGCACTTTGAGAGCACCATTAGGGACTAAATCTATGGATACATCTCTCAACACCCATATGAAACAGAACTGTAAACAGATTTACTTTTTCTCTTAACATTTATTTGAACAGCAAGTGGAGGCAAAAGTGACTGCACCCAAAACAATAAACCTCCTAGCTAACTAGCCTAAACTCAGTAACAGAATGTGGGCAACACGTTCTTCTCCACAGCCGCGCGACCTCTGAGTCAGACGTCACTTCCCCCTTTTCTATTTTACGGGTACAGCCCATGGGGTACAGCCACTCCCCCTGAACCCCGTTTCTCTGCCCCCCCCCCCCTCCCCTATACAAGCCCCTCCCTCTGAACCCAGGGCTCGCTACAATACTGTATACACAAACTATACAAAAACGCCTTTACGCTTTGGTGCTTGTTTATCCATCTGTAAGCAACTGCCAGCTAGGTCTCTCAGTCACTCACTCCTGATCGTTCACTGCACAGTGACAGCTGCTACGGGCCTGATGTGTGAAAGTGAAACTATCTGATAGATAGAACATAGGTAGCCTATCAAAACGGCCCAGCCCAGCCCAGTGGGGCGGCCGGAACACTTACAAATGTGGGCCGATAGGATTTAGGTAAGCAAAAAAAAAAGAAAAAGGGAGTGGCCGGAACACTTACAAATGTGGGCCGGTAGGATTTTTGGCCCTCCGGCCCACGCACAGCACCGGCCCACCGGGAAAACTCCCGGTATTCCCAATGGCCAGTCCGCCCCTGCCATAGACCAATCAACTGTTCATCAACTTAATTATTGTAATTCTAAATAACTACAAATGTATTCCAAAAAAATATTGTCACCCATGCCCATGCACTACTTGGTACGGTCCAATCGAGCACAGTTGTTAGCAGTTATCTGTTGTTCAGTTTGGAACCAGAGGGTAAGCAGATATCGAATGATATATATTCCCCAGAGTAATTGCGATATTTTTGTAATTTAAAGACCATTTTATGCAACTGATGTAATGGGTAAAAAGGTTCTGGGTAACCAACAGAGAAAACACACATCATCACACTTTGCCGTTTAAAATACCTTTGTAATGTTTAGCACAGGAGTTGTAAGGACAGAATGATCTGAATTCCATAGATATTCGACCGGCTCAGCGTTGGTGATGATTGCATCGCAGGTCAACGTACACTTGGTCATCTCTTCGTCACATGTTTTACTAACAGTGGGTTTAGGAACGGGAACTGGAGATAAAATAAAAAAACAGGCCTTTTATAGTCATGATGTAGCAGATAACCATATTTTAAACACCAAACGTCTACACTGCTAACTTGATTTTAGTGTGTGTAATCGAAGCACTTACGGATGACTATGAGACGTGTTGGATACTTGCAGGCCACTTCTTTCATTTCTGCTGTGTATAATCCACTGTCATTAAGAGTCAGTTCTCTGAGCGTCATCTCTCCAGTTGCAGTGTTCAGGGCACCACGCACTTTAAAAAGACAAAAACATGGTTAGGGTTGGATCATCAATTAAACTCGAGGACATATTTGACCCCACAGAGCTGAACTCCGCTCAATATATACCTTCGAAATGGCCATACAAGTCAATATTCGTTCCATCCCATTCGATGGCGATGTTAACCCCGTTTTTCCACGATATCTCCCTGATGTTCCCGCAGCCCGAATTGAGGACAACGTCATCGCCCACCTGCTTGTAGACTTTGATCTCTGGAGGGAAAAAAAGATTTCAGATTTTCTAAACATCCTTTTAAATGATTCACTGTACTCTTGTTAAATTATGGAAGTAGGTGAGTCTAATAAGAGACTCACAAAGATAACAATAATAGATAATAGAAGTTTTTAAAAAACAAAAAAGGATTATTAAACAGAGGGTTAAAACTAATTTGTGAGTGTAATGTACTTGTATATTAAAGTATAATCTAACAGATTACTCTGTAAAATGTCAGAAAATATTTAAAAATTGCTCATGAAAATATCCAAATACATTTTTAAAGGATCAAATGGGGAGGAACCATAAAATCCTTATGCTAAACAAGTGGGAAAAACATTATATATTGATTCTTGATAGATAATAAAAGGAAGCAACTGCTTGCTGCAATCATACAGTATTTTATTATATTACTTGTTATGCTCTTCTGTATTATCTTTTCTTCCCAAACTATATATATATTATATTTGCTCCATTTACCTTAGCTTTGATTAGAAATTACCCAAAACAGACACACTTGTATAATGTGTAATAATCATAGATAAACATAAAAACATGCTTTACTCCAAAACATTAATAAACATTGTTTTGTTTTTTTAAATAATATGACTTTATATTGGAATGTAAATATTCACCCAGTTTCTAGTACATTATATTATTGCTTTTTGTGAGGCTTGATAGACATTTTCAGTATTTTCTGGCACATGTAGATTCAACACATCCTCACTCCCAGGTCGGCCTATGTTGACGTTATGTCAAGTCCCCTGTGTCGGCTTTTTCCAACGCAAGGGGGGGGCCCTTAGCGTCCATTTTCAGCTTTCCGGGATGTCCATATGCTTCTATGGACGCTCATGGAAGCACGGCATTCGTTTGTGTCGGCTGCCCTTAAAGGCAATGTGAGCGTCCATTCTCATTGGATAACGGAGAATTGTACACCCGGAAGTAAGTATTCCCCTTACTGTCGATTGATTTTACAGTGATATCTGCACTACTCATCGACTCAAAAACACCAGATTATCCTTGTTAATTACACAACATTGATTGGTTTAAATTGTGTGCTATGCTTTTGTATTTTCCCCCTTCGATTCGGAGAAACATATTTTTTCGGAGTAAAGGATGGCAGAAGACACTACACTACCCAGAATCCCCAGCTATCGTTTGGACTACACCATGTGCTCTGTTTGACAAACCCCATGATAGTCCTCAAGCTCTGTGATTGGAGAGTGTGCTCTGAGGGTTACACCGAGCCTCGAACAGCACTTGAAATGGGATGGAACCACGCAGACTGTCCAAAACTGGATAAGCCTGAAACATGCACTTGTCAAGGTTCAGCGGCACATTTTGCAAATATGGCAGTAGCCATCGATCAGCTTAAGATAAGATATACTTTATTGATCCCAAGTTGGAACATTTGCGTTACATCAGCATGTGTAACAGTTAAATATGCAGTGGTGTTTATTTGTAAATCATTTAGTATAATCACACAAATTCTGTGTTTTATATTCAACAATTCTGTGTTCTTTATTTATTGATTGTTCAATACCTGACAAGGCCGGAGATGAAATATCTACATACATCTTATAAGAGTATAATACATTATGTATAATATCAGTTAAAATAAGTGCTTCAACATAGTTAACATTGCTGGAGGTATGCACAAATATTGATAGATGTCTTGTAATGCACTATTGAGGAACCTGCGACCCAAGTTTTTCATTCAATGCATAACTACACCATAGTTGTGTAGGCCTATATGATATGTCAATAAACCTTAGGAAATCTTGAAAGGGATGTGCAAAATAGTAATTATATACAGTCTTTAATTAACTATTAGTAGAGAATAACGAGTAATGAATATACTTTATAGGGATCCTATTAATATCTAATAATAAAAATAATGAAATTCAATAACATGCTTTAACCAGTAGGTGTCCCTTTATATCAGCTGTGCACCTTTATGGTGTAAATACAGCCTATCTACCAATTGGATCAAATATAAAAGTCAGCCGAATTAGTGTTGATACTGCAAGCAGACGTATTGTGTGAAAAGAAATGTAAGATGTTGTTTAATGGCTGATCTATTTATGATCCACGTCACGTTTTCAGTTCCTTCAGTCTTCTCATCAGGGCTCTATAAATACAGAACTACGGCAGATATGTAATATTTAATGCAGCCGAACCGTGTATTACAATGCCGGTATGTGATGACTTTCAAAGAGAAAAGCAAGCACACTCGGAATAAAGTATTATTTTATTTGAAAAAAATGTTTTCGGTCTGTTTCCGGTATTTGTTAATGACGATGTGCTGTGAGATGTGAGACTGCAATTGCACAGGAGAAAATAACGTCGGCTATCTTTAGATGCGGATTTTGTTAAACTAATACGTTTGCGCTGTGTGTTACACTATACATTCACGGGGAAGGGGGTAGCAATAAAGATAACATCATTAAACAGTTACACAACATAACAGAAATAATATCGATAGCAGCGTCCCTAGCAACCACCTTGGTAACAATGAAAACGTTATTGACGCAATTTCCTGAAGTCATCTTCGTAATAACTGGCAAACTAAAGATCATGTACATCCACTGCACACATCACCTGAAATAACAACTCATATTTCTCTCATCAAATGACATCAAAACGCATTTTAATGGCCAAACTAACTTTAAAATAGGCATTTTCCACCGAGAATAAAACGAAGTTCGTCCATGTTTTTTTTTTCTGCAGGGAGAAATTTGAAGATCACGTGACGTCAAACAGAGCACATGGTGTAGTCCAAACGATAGCTGGGGATTCTGGGTAGTGTAGTGTCTTCTGCCATCCTTTACTCCGAAAAAATATTTGTTTCTCCGAATCGAAGGGGAAAAATACAAAAGCATTGCATACAATTTAAACCAATCAATGTTGTGTAATTAACAAGGATAATCTGGTGTTTTTTAGTCGATGAGTAGTGCAGATATCACTGTAAAATCAATTGACAGTAAGGGGAATACTTACTTCCGGGTGTACAATTCTCCGTTATCCAATGAGAATGGACGCTCACATTGCCTTTAAGGGCAGCCGACACAAACGAATGCCGTGCTTCCATGAGCGTCCATAGAAGCATATGGACATCCCGGAAAGCTGAAAATGGACGCTAAGGGCCCCCCCTTGCGTTGAAAATGGACGCTAAGGGCCCCCCTTGCGTTGGAAAAAGCCGACACAGGGGACTTGACATAACGTCAACATAGGCCGACCTGGGAGTGAGGATGTGTTGGTAGATTAGACCAGTGGTTCCCAAACGGTGTGCCGCGGCAGTGCCGTGAGGCAAGTCCGGGTGTGCCGTGGGATTTTGTGACAACCATACGTTATTATTGCAATATACAACTACACAAAAAGTATTATTTAATTTTGTATTTACTATATCAGTACTTTGTAGGTTTATATGTACGTAATCTGCGCGACTTGCGCGTCCACATCTCCAGGTGCAGTGCTGCATAAACATGGCTGAGTCAGCGATAACTTTCGAGGGGTGGAGGTATGCCCATTATTTTGAGTTTGTCAGAAGAATAGACAGGAATGTGACGGTGAGGTGCAAACTGTGTCCAGGCCAGAAGCTGTTATCCACTGCTGGAAACACCACGTCAAACCTCAACAAGCACCTGCAAAGAACACATGCTAAGGTGAAGCTAACGCACACGCTATTTGTTGTTTGTTTATATCACGTAGTCTGTTCTTCTTCTCTGTCTTCCGGTTGTTGCCTGTTTTGAATGACAAATACACACTACCGCCGCCTGCTGGTAAGTAACGTTATTGCCACTCACGCATGCCCAGTTCGTACGTGCTCGAGTAAAGTAACGAGTAAAGTAACGAGTTACTTTATGTAGATAGTAACGAAGTAGTGTAATATATTACTTTAAAAAAATAAGTAATATGTAATATATTACATTTTTTTTAGTAACGACCCCATCTCTGGAGTTGGCGTTCTCTACTCTGGTTTACATGAAGAACAACAGGAGGTCACGGCTCTCTGTTGAACAGGATTTGTGAGTGGCCCTCTCCTCAGTGCCACCAAGGATTAAAAAAATCTGCGCGTCCCGACAGGCACATGTATCTCACTAATTTGTAAATCGGCAAAATATTTACAATAGCACATGTTTCAATGCTGATTGCTGAAATGTTACATTTATAATTTGTAGTTCAGGACCATGGACAATGCAGCTTCCTTGCATTGACAGTTCTCTGTGCTGAATTTCTGCTGAGTTTCCTTTGGCTCATTTTTTATGTTGTGACCTGTCTGGTTTAAATGAGTGTGTTGCTGCTTTGATGAAGCCTAATTTGATAAAGTTTCAAATTAATTTCTGAAATATTTCGTTAATAAATATTTCATGAGTAATATAGTTGTCTTTGTCACATTTTATTTTGCATTAGTAAATAATTAGGCACATTTACAGATATTTTACATGATATGAGTGATAACACGTGTTATAAGGGCTATTTTGCACAATAGGTGTGCCTTGAGATTTTTACTTGTCCTTTGGTGTGCCTTGGGCACAAAAAGTTTGGGAACCACTGGATTAGACATACAAGTTTCATAGCTCTCTACTCTAAAAAGTAAATATACTATTTTCAATTACACCCCTTCCTTGTGCCTAACTGTTCTTTGGTATGATAACTTTTCTGTTTTACAGTTTGATTATTTTCCATTCAGTCCCCCCCCCCCCCCCTCTAATGCCCTCTGTAGTGTTTACAATTGATATCGCTTTGCTCTGCAGTTAATGTAGTTATCGCTGCATGCTGGTTCTCACAGGGCGTGGTCCTTGATAACGAACACTTCCATTTAGCTACACAACTTGCACCCTAATATAACGCACATTTATACGTATGAAACCCTTTATAGCTACGAAGTGAACCAGCCGTAATAACCTTACCGGAGTCTGCGGAGACGACAGCCGGGAACACGCAGAGCACACCGGCCACAATCATGGAGAACACAGGCGGCCACATCTCCGTCGGTTAAACTGTCAACAACAAGATGGAAACTAAACTGCTTCTGTTGTAAGCAGAAGCAGCATGTCAAATTAAGTCATATTAAGGATGAACACATTACAAGCAGAGATTTCCCGATTAAATCAAAGTGAGTGATAAATTGTGGGAGAGACTGAAAGTGAACGTTGTGACTCAACAGTCTCCGCCTCCACCGGGACAACATATTTATATGTAATAGTCTTTATTCGAATTGAAATGGTTTCATAATCACTATATATGCGTTACAGGCGATTGTGATAACTTATATAGTTATTTACTTCTGTAAAAGTATTAAAAATACCCCCAAAATTACAAAAACAAAACTAAAAACAGTCTAATGCCATCTAGTGGCCTGATGTTGTTACTGCACCCAGAACAAGTACAGGCTATTTTAAGTGGAACATTTGGGGAGTTGGCTAAATGTATTGAGCAATAATTCTCCACTTCAGAAGCACTTTTATCATTATATTAAAAATACTATTTGTTCATATATCAATACATTTTTATTACATAACATTGCATTTAGCTAACATAGTGGAAACAGGCAAAGTAATAGCAAAATTAACTTGAGTTACATTTAGTTACAGCTTTTCTGGAGCTGCACGGTGACCATTCACAAAAATGCTATCTAAATGTACACTACATTCCTTTTTTAAGTGTCGAAAACAAAGCTCAGAATGCATGTAGTAACAACACAGTGACAGGATTCATTCATCCTGCAGCTCCTCCATGTCTATCGTCTCCAGCTGCAGCCACAATCCTCCCTCTGCACGTAGCACGAGTTGGGGGAGACGGCGGACTCCCCCTGAACTGCTCCCCATTTCAGGGTCAGATCCCGGGGTCAGACGAAACTTGAGCAGGGTCAACGCCACGACGACTCGCAGCTCTGCCAGGGCAAATTTCTGACCAATGCAGTTCCTGTGAACACATACAGTATAGACTCTTAAACAGCTATAATCGTTTAGATCTCATTTACCTTGCAGCATTGAGGACGCAGTACCTGGGGCCCGAGGAGAAGGGGATGAAAGCATGAGAAGACCGGCCCTCTGTGTTGGCAGGCTCAAAACGCAGAGGATCAAACTCCTATGAAAGAACATAACACAGGTCAGAGAGGACAGAGTTAAAGTGACGTGAAAGGTTAGGGTTATTTCTTACGTGTGGGTTTGTCCAGACAGCAGGGTTGTGGTGCGTCCCGTAAATACTGACCAGAGAGATGGCACCTTGGGGAGACCAACACAAAGAAACAAATACTTTAAGAACATGTGGTTATATCTGTCTCTTTCTGTGTGACTTTGTGGTGTTTTTGCCCCTAAAAGAAGCTTATTGTACTTTAAATCTATATAAAAAGCTCTTTCTCTCACCCTTGGGTACGGTGCGGTTGCCGGGCAGGTCCATGTCCTTGGTGTACTTCCTGGTTACAGCCAGCACAGGAGAGTGCAGTCGCAGAGACTCTCTGATGCACATGGTGGTGAAGGGGAGGTTGGCCAGATCCTCCCTTTAGATAAAGACATCCACATTTAAATATATTGATTCCTGCCTTAATATAACACACTTTCAACCGCATTTCCATCTCCTATTAAGCATTTCTGTGTATTTTCTGACCACTGTATTGCATGTGTTTCTCGTCCTTGCATCAGATCCATCACTTCCTGTCTGCAGTTCTCCTGATGGTCTTCGTGGTGCGCTAAATTATACAGCGTCCAGCTAATCGCACTGGCTGTTGTGTCGTGACCTGTGGAAACAGAAGGACACTTTTCAATCCACTTTTAAAGTCTCAAAGAAATCAATTGTATGATAAGAACATTAAAGTGAATGTACTTGTGTTACTAAGTAAATAAAGTTGCTTCTCACCTGCAAACATGAAGGTGTTTGCATCCGCCTGAATCTCCTCATCTGTGAGGCCTCGTCCGTGCTCATCCTGTGGATAGACAGAATTGTTTGATTGTTTGTAAGGAATCACAGACCAATAATTTAGAATTATACAGATGATATATAAACAGAATATTTGATCTGATTCTTATTTCTTCTTCTCTCCTACCTTTGACAGCAGTATGATGTCCACAAAATCTTTCTTCTTCTGTGGTGCTGCGGTGAAATATGCTCCTGTCTTCTTCTGCTGCCTGATCAGGGCTCGACGCTTCTGAACCACCTCCATGGTAAACCTGTTCAGATGTATAAAAAAACAACAAAACGATTAGTGTTGGTTTTGAACACATGAAGGTCATGAGGTCACACCCGTGTAGCTGCTGTACCTGTGCACGATGCTTAAGGCCTTTTTGAATTGTTTCCCCTGCTGAGTCTTCCAGTAAATAAAATCCCAGTGGTGCAAAATCTTTGTGCGACGATCTATGATCAGGTCACTCAGCTCCACTATGGCTGTCACGTACTCAGAGGAAGACCTAGTGAAAGATATACAATTAAAATAGAAGAACTATGGAAGAAGATTATACTCGTGAACAAAAAGAGTGTGTCCTCACCGCTGACAGTTGCTGTTGTAACTGAAGGCACATTTCAGTAAACTGTCGAGTGTCATCAGAGTGACGTGGTCAAACATTTCTACATGATTCGTGCCTTTTGCCAACAGTTTGTGCCACTTATCCTGAAAGACAGATTCTTTTGATTATTAGATCAGATTCTACTTTATTTGTTTACTTTTTTAATTGATCTATTATATTTGTATTTCTGTATGTTTATTTATATTTGTATTCATTTATTTGTATTATTCATTTATTGGGATATGGATTTTAGTAGCAGGCATATACTAAAGTGTGTATACAGCATGTGTGTGTGTCTTACATGCATGGTGTTGGTGGAGGTGTTAAACTTGTTGATGTAATTCTTCAGGATATCAAAATGAAAAGCCGGGGTCAGCAGCCGCCGCCTGCGAGACCACTCCTCTCCGTTTATCAGCAACAGACTCTGTCCTGGGGTGTGAAGGGGAAATGTTCGGAGGTGAGGATGAGAGTAAATAATACATACACAGTCAGTGTCGTCTCACTTTGGTATAATTAAATATAAAGATAGAAGGCACTAGATAAATTAGATGTACAGGTACATTTAAAGATTGTGTTTAGGTGATCAATTGATCCACTAAAGTGAAGCCCAATAACAGATTAAAATCTTGTTTTTGTTATTTTTTAGATCAGAATCTTCTTTGTTTAGGAAGGTAGATGGAGAAAGTTAGATGAGGGAACCTGAACAACTTGTAGTACTTTACCGTATACTCAATATCTATAAACACAGGAAGTGTTATCAGCTCATTTAAAGTATTTTGATATCAGAGAGACGTTTGACTCACCAAGCCACGGACGCAGATGTCCATAGAATAGCTCGTCTTTCACTGTGATGCTGGCTGGATGTAATGGAAAGAGAAAAGAAGATTAAAGAGGAAATAGTCTGCTAATTCTCAAGTTCATATTTGTATTTTGTGCCTCCACTGCGACTGTCTCCATGCTTTAATGTTCAAAAAGCTCTTAATTTTTCTCATACTGCCTTTGCTGCAGCACCTCTGTTCACCCTCTGTCTGAAACCAGAGCCCAGTCTGCTCTGATTGGTTAGCTGGCCAACACTTCTTCCAGTGTGAAAATGTTTCCAGTAATTATACAGTACCAGGTGCCATTAGCAGAGGTTTGATGTAGTCCGGGTGGAAGAGTCTGACCAGGTGATAGAAAGGGCCGATGAACCAGCTGCAGGAGTGTGTGTACATCTGCACCAATTCATCCACCTGCAGGAGGCCTTCCTCTGTGCTCTGCATCTGAAGCACACACAATAACACTTTAAACAAACATTATAATGCACCATAAGTATAGCTTTTCTAAATGAAAACCTCAGAGTTTAATGGTCGGTTTGCACACTTAACTGAATTCTCCCCCCATAGAGATTTGTAATGAAATATGTCGCAACATCCTGTATCATGCTGAGAAATCTACATTTCGTTATCTTGTTTCACGATTGCCAAGAATTACAATAATGACACAACGTTTAACATGTCACTCCCATAGAGGCACAAAATACAAATATGAACCTGAAAATGAGCATATGTCCTATAAGTAAAGGATGTGAACACTTCTTCCAGCATTGTTCTACCTGTGTTTTTACAGTTTGAATCTTACCTTGCCCAGGTGGCCCAACAGCCAGGAGTGTGCATGTGGCTTGCTGAAGCAGGAGAGTCTGTGTGTGAACCAGGCGTGACGCACCAACAGCTTCACGGTCCAAACTGAGACCACAGCTCCCAGACCGGCACCGACCAGAACCATCAGCTGCCATAGGCCCGTCCAGCTGAGGACCTGAGAGAGGACACCCCGGAGGAGAGACATCCTGAAAGAGAGTGAAGAGTTTCCAGAGGTTGTCTTACACTCGCCCTGCTCTGACAGTGACTGTGTCCACTAGGACAAGTTACTAATGTTGAAATATGCAAAACCTGTTCCACCCAGGAAGTGCTGTAACCATAATGTCAGACACCACTTCCTTTGTCTGTTACCATCCAACTTATTTTGTTATTTTGTTTAATTTGCAGCACAGGTTTCAACACATAGGCTAAGTGGCGGGACATCTCTAAGCAGGTTGACCAATCACACCAAAGCCGACCAGCTAACCTGGTTTCAGACAGAGAGTGAAAAGAGGTGCTGCAGCACAGGCAGTATGAGAAAAAATGAAGAGCTTTTTGAACATTAAAGCATGGAGACATGTCACAGTAGAGACACTACATACTGACCTAACCTGTCCAGAATGCACACGTTTGGGTCAGTTTGCTATGCCTTTAAGCAAGACAAAAATAAACTGGACTCAAGGTGTGAAAAGGGAATTTTTGTTGGATATGACAAAAATAGTCCGGCCTACATGGTCTATTTCCCTCACAGTGGAAAAGTGCAAAAATCTAGACTTGTGAAGTTTGTGACCAAGACCAATTCAGAAAGAGAAACACAAACAGAAACCGTCTCTGATGACGACTTTGAGGTACAGAAGAAATCTGGCAAAATCAAGCGGGATACTAACGTTAGTCCAGTATCTATACCTGTGGTAACAGAGACAGAAGACGACAACAACAGTGAGCTTAGGCGTTATCCTTCAAGAGTGAGGAAGAAGCCAGCTTACTTATGTGCCAGTGTATGTGGTAAGGAAAGTGAGGATCAGCTACTGGCAAATATTGACTATTGTTACAGATTAATGTGCAATATCCCTTTAACATTTAGGGAAGCTGTAACTTCATCTGAGTCAAAACAATGGGTTATTGCAATGGATGAGGAAATGCAATCACAAAAAGAAAATGACCAACTTACCTCAAGGTGAGAGAGCAGTGGGGGGTAAATGGGTGTATGATATCAAAACCAATGTTGATGGGTCCGAAAGGTACAAGGCACGATATGTAGCCAAGGCATACAGTCAGAAGAGGGGTGAAAACTATGATGAGACACTTTCACCTACCGCTAACCTCACCAGTATCAGAGTGAAAGCAGCACAGGAAAATCTGATTTTACACCAAATGGATGTTAAAACTGCTTACCTACATGCACCAATAGACTGAGATAGACATGGAACAGCCAGAAGGGTTTGAGGTCAAATCCAGTAAAGGTGAAAAGTTGGTGTACAAGCTAGAAAAGTCACTATATGGGCTTAAACAGTCAGAACAACATGCTGCATGAGTATCTGAGTGAAAATGAGTTCCTATAGAACCCTGTTGACCATTGTGTTTACACAAAAGAAAATGAAAACTGGAAAGTGATAATGATAATATGGGCTGATGACATAATCATTGCAGCTAGTGATAGCAATGCATTGACAGTTGTTAAAGAGATGCTCACAGCTAAATTCAGGATGAAAGACTTGGGGAAACTAAAACATTTCCTTGGCATTGATTTTGATCAAACTGATTCATGTGTAAAGATGTCACTGAAGAAATATGTGAACAAAATACTTGAAAGGTTTAACATGCAGGATTGTAAACCAAGAGCGACACCTTGGCCCTTTCTCATTTCTCTAACTCCCCTCCTCGACTCCTATGCTCGACTCCTATCCTCGAGACTTATACCTCATTCACACCAACGGTGTTTCAGGGCCGGTTCGGAGCTGGAGCTTGAAAAGCACCGGGTTTTCCTCTTCACACCGCAGCGGAGCAGCCTCTTAGCTCCGGAATCCGGTTCGTTTCAAGCACCAAAAAATTATCCGGCCAGAGCAAAAGCACCGCATACGTCACGCTTACGTCGAGGCGGGGGCAGAGACAGATCACCTCCTGAACAACAACAAAAATCCCGCGTTTTATCCAGTTTGTACACAACGATGGAGAAACTTAACAAGAGTTTAAGTGTTTCTGCCATAGACTGTATATATAAAGGTTTCTGCTCATGGTGAAGCAACTTGTCTGCGTGTTAAGGTGGAACCTGAGCATTCACGTTGATCACCTCATTATAACTCATTATAAATCTATAAAACTATAAATATTAAACTTTACTTCACGTGTTCATTTGAGAACATCTGTTAAATACCTGGGTGAAGGTTACAGTTCATTTAAATGAAAGATACAACGTTACTCCACACTCATGGTTCAGTCCACCTTAAGAAATAAGACCGACCTCGGAAGCAGTTGTGTTTTAAAAAAAGCTTTATTGACACGAGTACACTTTTTTATAAGAATATAACTAAACCACAGAAATGACTCCGGAAAAGCTGCAGATAGAGCCATAAGAAATGAATGCAACTGATTTCATCCACACGGTTTGGCTTTATGAAGCAGGCACGCAAACGGTTACGTCATGACGCAAACGATGACGCAACGACGCATTACCAGTCGGACTATGGGCGGTGTGAAGAGAGCCAGAGCTAAACCGAAGAACTGGTTCTGAACCTGAAAAGCTCTAGCACGGAGCTTGAACCGGAGTTGCGTTGGTGTGAATGAGGTATTAGTACCGCCCACAGGAGATGCGAGCGGAGGAGCCGAGGAGGGGAACCGAGGAGAGAGGAGGGGAAGCAGCAGGCGGTTAGAGAAATGAGAACTCCTCTCCTCTGAGCGGTCATTTTAAAGAGACGTCCATTAATGATGACAGGAGGCACAGCAGCCCTCTGTCTGATGGACAGATGTGTTCATGACCACTTATATATTTACTTTGATTCATTCACAGTGCGGTATAATGAGACAATAACAGGCTACAGATGCGGACACACACACACACACACACACACACACATATATATATATATATATATGTATATATTTATATACATATATATACAATTTCAGAATCAAACAAAGCACTCATAATAACGTAACACTATCAGAGACTGGATATATCCCCCCTCCCCTCTCCCCTCTCTGGTCGCTACAATGAGGAAAATAAATTACGGGCCAAAAGTTTTATTTACAAGTATTACAAGTAAGCAGAGGACACCAAAGCAACTGAGACCTGTCTGTCCGCTGCATCTACGCACTGTAGGCCTACCACACACACCTACACATAATCAGGCTGCAGCCGTTGTGTATTTTATTATGTGAAGCACTGAATGGTTTTAGAAAAATATGGACTCTTTGTTTGTAGATATCTACTAAACTAAAGCAAATAAAGAGAGTAGGCCTGTTATACTGAGTGATATATATATTACACACTGCTCTGCTTTCTGCATGGACCTCACAGCTGTTCTCACTGTAAACATCGCGTCACGATGAAAGCAGTTTCTAAAATAATATCCAGGGGATGCATGCAGAGCTGTGATTGGCTGAGATAAGTCCGGCCGTGCGTCACGACTCTTTGAAACATCTCTGTTCCCGGAAATGCATACGCGAAGGAGCCGTGGAGGACCCATCAGTGTATCCTCGGTTATAGCTCCTCCAGAGAGCCTCCTCTACGCTCGATCCTCGGTCCTCGAAGTGCATTTAGAGAAATTAGATGTCCTTCAACATGGCGCGCTAAAATTCATTTCCGGGTCACTACCGGAGGACCGAGGAGTCGAGGAGGGGGATTTGATGAAATGAGAAAGGGCCCTTAAGCAAAAACTGAGCTAATTAGATGATGCTGTACCGATGTTTGGGGTAATTACTCGGATGTTTCCAAATTGTTTTCCAAAAAGAGCTTTTTGAACATTTAAGCGCGAAACATGTCACAGTAGAGGCACACAATACTTTTATGAACATGAAAATAAACACAATATGTCCTCTTTCAAATTCTAACTTATAATTAATAATTAGATGGAGGTAGAGCCCAAATACATGTTTTAACCGAGCCACAAAATACACAAGATAAACCAAACAAAAACAATCCATATCCACCCTGCCATTTAACCAGAATTATAAAGTTCACTGGAAAATACAGAGTTACTCACAAACCCCTATTAAATCAAGAGAACTAAATCATAATATTGTCTACACATTGAGATACGTATAAAACACAGATATCCTTATTACTTTTCAAATAACTAATTATGTTGGTGACATTAAATCATTAAACTAATCTTCATTTGAGAGTTCGGTTTTAAGAGGAGCTCCTGAACGCCACACTGATTGGAACAGGTGGCCACCGAGCCGCGCGCTAACGCAGCTCGTGCTCAGAGACCAAACATTTCAGTGATTTCTGCAGTTTCTGGTAACGTCTAATAACGATATAACATTACTTTGTGTGGCTAAAGACGGGTATTCAATGTAAATACGATTGGATATATCTTCAAAGGCTAATAACCAGTTAGCCTGTGGTAGTTTCCCTTGTTTACCTAACCCCTCATTCTGGTTCATTTTTTTTTTACGATTAAACATCGGTTAAAGGCCAGAAATGTATAGAAGATTCAACCCCCAAAGATACTACATGTTTTTTGTTGATGCTATAAAGTAGACAAAATTGGTGAAATCAAATTTTTGATAGTTAAACAATGTTCGAAAAGTGTAACAATCTATTTTTCGAGCATTGTTGTGTAGCCAGTTGATATACCAACTTAGATTGTTTTGGACAATTTCTATATGATCAGTATAAATTGACATGCTCAGAAGTAAATTACAATAAAGTGTGTTTGACAAAATCTCTATCCATGAATCTCAGGGATATTTAAGTTTATTTTAAGTTATTTTAGTATTGCTGAAGAAATAAACCTTTTATTGTTCTTTAAAGCTGTAATAGTACAGTTAAATGCTTCAGAATTGAAAAACACTTCATGAATTAACCTACATTTGGTAATATTTCAATTGCTCTTGTAAACACTAGCTAACCATTTAACAATACCTACAATGAAATTATTAATATCCTTATGAGCTGTGTTTTTAAACTAATATGTATGTTCTCCTTTATTTCCCTCTGTTTTCAGGTGTTCAGCTTGAGGTGAATGAATTTGCAGAGGACAGATCTCTCCATACTTCCTGCTCCTCTCTGACATCTCTCAGCTCCAAACAAACATGGCTGCCATCTGAATCCCTTCTGCGGCTTTCCTGGATGAACGACCGCCAAATGGAGCAGGATTCCCGGCACCAGTACGTGGAGACGCAGTCGAGTCCTGCGCCTCCTTTCTTCGAGGAACTCTTCTGCACCTCCAGCTCTCTGGCCCCTCTGGCCGGCGCCCTCCTGGCCTCCGCAGGGCCGCAGAGCGATGTGGTGAAGAGAGGATACCTGGGGAAGCTGGAGCGCAAACACAGGAGGTATTTTATCCTGAGAGCAGGAAGCCACATTGGGCCGAGCCGCCTCGAGTGGTACCAGAGCCAGGAGAAGTTCACAGCAGTGGAGAAGACTGCTGGAAGTCTGTTCGGCTCTAGCAAACAAGGGTAAGCAAAAGTAACTTCAAGAACAAAAATAAGAGAAAAACAAAACAAGCATGCTGCATCTGTATACTACAAGGAAGGTAATCACTCGAAAAACCCTTATGCATACAGAAAAAAGACACACAATTACACAGTCTCTGGAAATGCACTGTACCCATTCATCCTTCATTTACTTGAGTAACAGTTTAAATGCAGGACTTGTAGTATTCCTACACTCTGGTACTTCTACTTTTACTGAAGTACAAGATCTAAGTACTTCTCCCACCTCTGCTAACACCCTATGAATTCCTATTTCTCAGGGTGATCTACCTGAGGTGCTGTGTCGGTGTGAGCCGCAGTGGCAGTTCCGGGAAAGGCCTCGCGGTGGCGCTGTACGCCAAAAACCAAACCATGGTGCTTGTGGTGGAGGAGCAGGGGGAGCAGGAGGAGTGGTACCTGGCCATCAAGAAACTGATGGAGGAGGAGCGTAAGGATGAAGAACACAGGGAAGACTTTGATGAAGATGATGATGGGTACTGCACTCTGCCCCCTGCTGCTTTCTTCAAAGAGGTCCAGATCTTCAATGTTTTAAATCATTATTACCCTAAGGTGTATTATCTTCCTGTTTGCAGTAGAGCAATATTAATAAAAAGAATCTCTGGATCTTCCTTTACTTCCATCAAAGGTTTGGCCCGTCGCGGTGAAGCCCCGGGGTTTGGGTTGTACCAAGTCCCTGGCAGGGGAGAGTTGTCTCTGCCTCACAGCTTCGTCGCTCATCCTGGCCAGAGCGGCTGCAGGCAGCGACTTGCCGTCTGTCACTATTCCTCTGCTGAGTGTTCGCCGCTTTGGCCACTTGGACGGTTCCTTCTTCCTGGAGCTGGGCAGGTCGGCGCCCAACGGTCCTGGAGAGATCTGGATGGAAGCAAGAGAGCAAGGTAATTAAGGAATAAAAGAAACCTTAATGGAGACCCGTAGGAAAATTCAGTCGTTTGAGCAGCAGCAACAATAAGAGGATAATTCGACTGACAAATACAAAAAGGAAGTTACAGTATAGAATATAATCGATAAAAATAACCTGTTGATGTGTGTTCTGTGCAGGGAGCTCAGCAGTAGCCCAGCACATCCACGAGGTGGTCCGAGAGACAGTCAGAGCGCTGCGAGCTCTGCCTGACTTCAGCCGCTCTCCCACCTCCAACCACCAGCTTCAAACCCTTCTGGCCGCCAAAGGCTGCCGACCCAAGCACCGAGACAAGCCAGCGGGTGTGAGACCACTCGCTTCTCGTGCCAGAAACCCTGAAAGCCCGTGTAAATGTCCCCCGGAGCCCCTCAAACCCCACGAAACAGACCCTCACCAGGGCTCCGAGTCGAGGACTGGCGGCTACATGGAGATGAAGATGGACCAACATCTCCCGCTGAGCAAAGAGAGGGAGAGAGTCAGCCAAACGCCTCCTAGGTTGACAGAGGAGGAGGACTGGGAGTCGGGTCAGCAGGGGTTGGGCTACATGGTGATGTCTCCTCAGTTGAGCCACAGTTTGTCTGCGCTGCCTCAGGACGACTACGTGACGATGGTGAGCCCACAGAAACACACAAGGCCATCTTCCTCTTCATCCTCCTCTCCTCTCCAGACATCCTTCAACAGGTTAGTTTAAGTAGGTGACAAATTATGTTTTGTGTGCAAGCTCAACACTTCCTCTGTTTAGGTGTTGGATAAAGTCACTGAAAGAAGGCAGAAAATGAGCATATGATGTCATCTTTAACTGTAATAAATTCTCTTTTGTAGCTCTACCTCTGAGAGCTCCTCTCCGCTGCATCATCAGACCCACTGGCTGCTGGCGACCTCCGTCCAACAGTCGGAAGCAGAAACCGGCCAATCACAGAGGAGCATCAGCCATGCACAGGATGAGGAAATGCGGGAACAGTGGCAGCAGATCCGCCTCCCAGCACACACCAGCACCAGGAGGGATGATGGCTCTGATGTGACGACTCCACTTGACTCAGGCGTAGCGAGTCCCAACTGTGGCGGACTCAAAGCTGCCACAGAACGATCCGTCCGAAGATACCGCCTGTCTTTGTGTCTGCCGTCCTGCCTGCAAGCTGAGGACAGAAACTGAGAACTACACAGAAAGATAAATAGCCTTTATTCAGCAGGGAAACTCAGGAGTCTTGGCAGCAAAAAAAAGTATGAATTAAAATGTAAAGGGGTTTAAATGTATGAATATGTTAAATATATATATGTACATTTGGAAGTTCAAGGCATGAATGCATACAGAAAGGTCAACGTGCACACTTGAATCAAGGCTTTAAACTCTGAATATGTGTTTGAGAAAAATAAAGTTGTCTTAGTGATAGTTGTCTGTTATTTGCACTTAGTTTTGTCTTCACTTCCTAGTTTTTTTGTCAATTATTTGTCTCTTTTGGTGTGGATTAAGTCATGCCTTTTGGTTTCTACACCGGTTTATTTAAAGTGTTTAAAAAAATAGTCACAAGAATGATTTTGTTATTTTTTAATTGTCTTTTTTGACAGCTTTCATACACAGCTCAGTATAACACCACAGATGTTCTCACTTTTTAGAATTGTCATTAAACCTGACCTTGTACTTTTTTCTCAAATGTTCTACATACTAAACTGTCTTTTTCTGAAATACTATGACTTTGTCTTCTACTCCATGTCATCCTGCTTCTCTATTCTTCCCAAGATGAGTGCAGAGCAACATATTAGTTAGGTTACCAAATTAAACTAAATTCTCCCAGATCAAATGGCCCACAGGGATAAAACGCTGCCTAGAACACTGGAGGTTCTGGGTTCACTGCTTATTGTTTTTTCAGGTAAAAAATCCAAAATAATCAACTCAAATAAGCAGAGAGAAGAGTTTTCTTATACATGTGTTTGCTTCTTCAGACAAACTAATAAACACAGCTAGCTCAGATGGACACTGCCTTGAAGACTGGACGTTGGGGGTTCAATTATCATTTGCAGTCATCTTTATGGTCCAAACTGTCCAGAAAGACAACAGTTTCACATTAACATGTTTGATTCTTATAAGGAGCACAGATTTTAAACGTCCAACATTGAAATAAAAAAAAAAAATACTTATAAATTACAATATCGTGGGAAATTATGTATATTATTATTATATATACTCATATATTATATATATTATTATATATACTATGACTCTTTTTGCCACGGAATCCAGATGTCTTGACTTCAAAAATGTTAAAGTTGTTTAAATGCAGTAATATATAATACAATTATTCTAACTATACTCCAGTGTCCTGCCAGTGTTTTGTTTGTGTGTGTGTGTGTGTGTGTGTGTGTGTGTGTGTGTGTGTGTGTGTGTGTGTGTGTGTGTGTGTGTGTGTGTGTGTGTGTGTGTGTGTGTGTGTGTGTGTGTGTGTGTGTGTGTGTGTGTGTGTGTGTGTGTGTGTGTGTGTGTGTGTGTGTGTGTGTGTGTGTGTGTGTGTGTGTGTGTGTGTGTGTGTGTGTGTGTGTGTCTTTAGTCCAATGAATCAGAATCAGGTTTATTACAAAGTTGGTTTACACACACAGTGATTAAATTGTAAGAAAAGGAACTAAGTAAGATGTAAGGATTAGAATAAATGAATCTAACACACCCCTACAAGAAATGTATAGCACACGTGATATGTGCAGTGTATTGAATTGAAAGTTAAATAAACATTCCCCTTTATATAAACATACATTTTTAAAGGATATTTATGAATTTGTATTTCCAATGGATATCCCAACTTTGAAATGCACTGTGCCCTCTGTGAACAAACTAAACATGATGATGGGACTCCATGACCTCATGACCCCCTCTGTTGGTCGGAGACGCTTTTAGCCTACAGTCAGCTGGCCGCTCGGATGACACATGCGCAACAGCTCAGCAACCGCACGCGCCGACGAGATGTACACAGCAGAGAGACTGGAGGGAATAAACAGCGATAACTGGAGTTTCCTGTGACTTAAAAGGTCAGTCAAAGGCTGAACTCACTCACAAACAAAGAAGCAAAGAAGCAAACAAAAAAATATGCAAACAAACACACATGTGACCGCTGTGTGTTATTAGCTCACGCATTAGCATATGGGCTATGCTAATGGCTAATATAGTCCTTCCGGTTGACAGGCTCTGATGTACACACTTCAAACATGATTCTCCATTAGTTTTCTCTTTCTTTAACCTGCTTTCCGAGGATACAACTACAGCTTAATATATAACACACTTGATCATATATTAAGCTGTAGTTGTATTTGTTGTGGCAGGTGCATTTTTTTCTTTCATGCCTCACATTCAGAGTTGGAAAAAGTACTCAGATGTTGTACTTAAGTAAAAGTAGAAGTACTGGTGTGTAGGATTTTTTTTTTGAAATGTTGCAAAAGTCCTGCAATCAGAAATGTTACTCAAGTAACTCAAATCAGTTCAAAAGTTCAAACACCAAAAGTACTCGTTCTGCAGATTGACCCATTTCAGAATAATATATATGATATGTTTTGATTATTGGTCATTAATATCAAAGCTGGTAAAGGTGCAGTTTTAATGACCTTGTATGCTGCAGGCTTGTGAATTTAATCCAGGTGTAAATAAAGGTTATATATGGGCTGATCATATTTCACATCATTAATCCAAAAGGTATTAAATAAATATAGTGAAGTAAAAGTACAATGTAGCAAAACATTGAAATACTCAAGTAAAGTACAAGTCCCTCAAAGTTGTACAGTACTTATATATATAGTTGCTTAAATATGTCCATGTTGCCATTGTGAGAAGGCGGACATATTCCAGTGATGGCATATGAGTTTACTCAATGATTTAAAGAGGTGTGGATGTATTGATTGACCAACAACATGCCATGTTTGGTAGACATAATCAATAAAAGAAGTAACCCATGATGTGCCAGCTGTGCCTACATTCCACATGTAGGACAGATTTTAATGTGCGCCAATGGCACAGAGTAAAACAAAAACTATGGCACTAAATTCACATACACTCTTATCCAATACTACCACCAACATTTCATGTCTGATTATTTATAGATTAACGGCTGAATGATTGTATTTTAATAACTGTATCCAACATGTTGATGGCACTATGTCATTTTTTATTTTAATCGTGTACTATATTGTGACTTTTTTAATGGCTTTTTATATAAGTCTGAAGACTCTCTTTATTTTGTGTTGCAGTGTTTGGAGGGTTGCAGGTGGACTGTTTACACAGCCGTGGGAACTACGGAAGTCTTAAGGTGTGTGTCTTTTGTATTTTATTCCTGATTCATAATATCGATTATACTATTCTCCACTTTCTAGTGTTACCGGAAATTATTATGATCATATAATCTTCTGTTTCTTTTTCAGAAGAGCTACAGCTGTCCTATGTTTGCTTTTTGGTGGGAGGATCGTGGCTTCTTGAGTTACGTTTTTCTGAAAAACGTAAGGTTCTTAAACACACTTAAGGTTGTTGAACACACACACACTGATATTTTCGACAAACTATGCTATAACTTTTTTTTTCTGGTATTTTCGACATACTATACCAGGGGCGGGCAGACTTTTTGGCTCGGGGGCCACTATGAGTTTTAAAATTTGACAGACGGTCCGGGCCAGTAGCAGATGGTGGAAAAGTGGCGGCTGATATTGTATTCTTTGAAAACTGCAACGGTTTCTTGGCAAATAAGACATACAGCCTTATATCGCACTTCGGTGAACAAATATTTAGCTGTCCACTTCTCATTAACATTGTCGACCTTTTTTTTCTTTGGTCCACTCATTGTTACAGATGCAGGTTCAAAAGTGAATTAGGTTCAAAGGTGAATTATTGCGTCATTGCGTCATCGTTTGCGTCATAACGTAACCGTATACGAGTTTCTCCGCAACACCGCTCACAACAACATCAATAGAGGACTGCGTCGGGTAGTTTTTAATCATACGAAGCCAGATTAAATTAAATAATTACTTCTCCAACCTTATACCTTTCTCCAGAGTCCCGTGGTGCATTGTTTATTAATGTGGTTCAGCGGCATTTACCGCCCGCTGCAGTGCTGCTCGTGCACCAGAGTTTAGTCTACAGGGACTACAGATGAAAAATAGCCTCTTGGCTAACTCTGGCACATTTACAGAAATGTTCATTAATGTGCACTGTCCCTGTTAAATAAATGAAATGTTAACCCACGGCAGCGGCCGCTAGAAAGTCTTCACTGTCCGACTGTCACACAAGCAGCTGATACATATCCCCCATAAGTGAATGTGTTTCAGTCTGAATTGACGCTGTTTGGCATCACAACGCTGTTATGAAAGTTTCTCTGGCATTCTACAGGTGATGTGAGCATAGCAACCGAAGCTAATCACACTTTCTTGACTACTTGTTGCTATCATATTGTGGCATAAGCCGTTTTCTACACGCATATTTTACCGGCGTAGTTTTCGTCATGATTTTACTTGTACATGTAGCCCATGTATTTATTCCATCCGATAGCTGCAATAATACAAATAATACAAAACAACAGGAAAACGTCTGCCTCTTCACAATGGTCAATAACAGTGAACGGATGGTCATTAAAGTAAGGTCAAATAAACAGAATCACACTAAGCCTGGTTAGTGTTGTCTGACTTTATATAAGTGTGTGGTTGCGTTCTAGTCACTTTGCTCAGCGCTACTGCTTGTTACAACTTGTATCAATCAATCAATCAATGCTTATTTATATAGCCCAATATCACAAATGTTACATTTGTCTCAGTGGACTTTACAGTTTGTACAAAATATCAGTATGACAATACGACACCCTCTGTCCTTAGACCCTCACATCGTACAAGGAAAAACTTCCGGGGAAAACCAACTTGTATTCGCTGTACTCGCCATTAACTGTTTTTACCTGGGTTAATCTCGAACCCCTCCAGTGGCGTGGCGTGGGGAAAAAATTAGGGGAAGCCAATAATACCTCCTTTCTTTTGGGTCGGTGGTGTGGTGGTCAATGTAATAACGTAACCAGATGAGTTACCCGGTATCATTTTACACACATTTGTATCATACAGATGCAGGACTTACACACGCCTGTTATCTAACCGACAGGTCCGCACGCACTCTCCAGCCGAAACTCTAATAAGCATTCATTCACAAACTAAATCAGGAGACCTTTAACGTTTTACGTCCGATTCGCTCCTTTTTTCCTCGCTGTACACAGCTCCAGTTTGGGCATTGGCCTGTCATCAGATTGTATTTTAGTTGCTGCTGTAGCGGAAGTTTAGTACAATTATTTTTGATTGAATACTCCAAATCTCCACCCTCCATAATTGCACTTGCTTCAGTTGCTTGCTGCTTTCTAACGGCGGTGAGAGTGGTGCAGTGACGCTATCTATCTTCTATCGATTAGATGTATGATTAGAAAATTGTAAAAGTAGGGTAGACATGTGGATATTATCCGACTGAACAAAACGTGCATTTATCTAACAGATTCGTTTTCCACTGACCTTATTTCGAGCTATTTTCCAAAATCCTATGGAGAAATCCCATTGCTTTTTAGTCGCGGGAAACCGAGCGCAGC